TTTTTCTAGGCAATTTAAATATAATTTATTAAAAACATTTTCCACTCACTCAAAGTACAACAATCAAAAGACATAAAAAGAAACGCTCTGAATGAAAAGAGTGAAGAAAAAAGTCTTATATCTGCCCCTCATAAGAATAACTTCAACTTTACAACAAACTTAACCTTGACCAGTTTCCAAATTTATTTAAAAAAAAAGGCAAAAACAAACATCAGCTGTCATTTATATCATATTTCCTTTGCATGACATCATATTTTTCTAATAGCTTTGATTTAATCACAAACAGAAGTGTTTTCAGCAGCAGCTGTTTTCTCTTCCATTCATTCCATCAGAGTTATTGATGCTGAATTATTTGTTCTAAACCCAATAATATCAATAAATAATGATAATATATAATTAGGCTGCATATAATGTGCACATATAGTTCATTGTATCTACATAAAAATAATACCAGAAGAATAAATGATGACAAAATGATTAATATTGAATAATACACAKGTATATGATCAGGCTATTTATAATTATATGCCCATTTAAACTTTATAAACACAATAAAAAAGATCCTCAGAGGTGGTTTGGTGCTCTGAATCCATCTCTTCATCTTTTCTGGGAAACGTGAAACTTTATCTTTYGAGCTCYGAYTTSAAGATTTTGTTGATTAGAACCAAAATATGCGTCAGAGCGCTGAGCTGAGCATCGTCTGTGGTCTGAGTTTAGCCCATAAAACTCATTATTTGATCATATAAAAACCGGATAATACCAGACAAACTGCCCGACGTCGAGAGAGCCCAGAGAGGTGCTTTACTTTGAAAGTCCCGCTCCGGTGTTTCCGCTCATGCACAGCAGCTTCACAGTGAGGCTGCGCTGTGAGACGTGCTGAATGTGATGTTCTCAGTGAGGAGCGGAGGGAGGGAGCGAGTGTAAATAACAGCCAGTGACGTCACTTTAATGTTTGACTTGTGTCAACCATTCAAACTTTAAGTTTATTTATATTTTAATTACAGAAGTTGTTTTATTGTCCAGTTTGATAAGAACAGGACAGGTGACTTTAACGTGTTTGAAGAGTTTCATGACGTCACCGGGTTTAATGAGGTGAACGAACCGCCGCCATTGACAGCTGTGCGGGCCGCATGTAGGCCTCGCGCTCCTCCGCAGTCAGCAGGAAGTAAACAGTGGACGTGATGTTCACCACGTGCAGCTGCTGCAGCTGATGCAGGGCGGAGGATAACAGGCAGTCAGCTGGGACTATTATGGGATGGGCTGTCCGATGTTGGAACTATKACTTCAATTTATTTATAGATGATGWAATCAGAGGTCTTCCAGGACTCTGATAGCAAAAATCAGTTTGTTTAAGTTTGAGTCAGTCAGAGCCTTTAACTTTAACCTGATATGGTCCCAAACAGAAGTTTATAAAGGAACAGGTGATAAAAGTTGTCTGAGGTTAATATGAGCTGCTCATGAAGCATGAACTGTGATAATTTAACTGTTTGTGGGAAGAAATGACCTCATTGTAACAAAGTATCCTCCAACAGAAGCAGGCCGGCAGGTGCTGCAGATTACAGCAGTGGTTCCCAAACTTTTCAGCTTTTGACCCACAAAATAACAGCAGCAGAGACCTGAGCCCCCAACTGTTTCTGGA